CCATTGTACTGTCGGCAATGCGTTTCTGTTATAGGTAAAGTTTCGCTTCCTCTGAAACTGCGTTTTGAGTTTTTCCTTGGGGGCCTCTTTTTTGTGATTGATCAATAATCAGGAGCCGAAGTTGATATGACCGCGTCGTCATCAGTGTGCACTGTTTCCGTCGTGAAGGGATTATGCAAATTACGCAATAAGTCAATGTTATTGTTTGCGTCCAGACTTTTATCTCAAAAACAAAGTGTACAGTATCCCGTTATACAAGTAGTTTTTCTTATTTTTTTAAAGAAAAGGTATTCTAGATGTGTTTCAGTTTTAATTTTGATAAAATTATGAGCCCAATAACTTTTACAAAAGTAATAACAAAAAAAGCAAAATTCACGAAAATAACTCTACCGCATCCTTAAATAAATATATTACTTTGATACAATGTACATTGCATACTTTGAAAGCAATGAATGCTGCCAATAACATAAACAGTAAACAAATTTTGGGATAGACAAATCCATTTTTACAAGGTTGCTTTGATTGCTACACCAAATTGTTTACAATGAAGTCTGTTTATGTTGGCTCAAAACGAGTAACTTTCAAATCACTGCAATGAACAAGGAGATGGCCCAACAGGTTTATAAAACATTTCATAATATAATATCACTACATTATAAATACAGAATGTATTGGGAAATTGTGTTCTTCAGGATTAATTTGATGTTTCCTAGTTTACCCCTAACTAATACTAGGTTATAGAAAGCAAAAGAAGTCACAACAGTAAAATATGACAAATTTTCAGATGATAACTTACCATGCTCTTCCTCAACGTCGTCGTCTTTCTCTTCATGGCTGTTATCAGGAGTCAAATTTGCTTGATTGCAGGCTTCATCAATCTCCTAAAAAGAATGCATGTTGAATCCTTCCTCCCACCAACTAGGTTAACAGCAGTATTTTATTGAATATAATAATATTATATTTATTTTACATCTATCACCGCAACGTCATAAGTTACAGCGTGCCATAATTTTGTGGTGTTTTACAGGGTATTTTCATCCTACCATATAAAGAAATGCGAATTCCAAATATGGAATAAAAACAAACATAGCTGCCATCAGGGTTTGACAAGACTCCACACAAAGAAGTTTGCTGATTCTGTTCTAAACTTTCTGGGTTTTGGCATTCCCATTATGTATCCTTGGAAAAGATGTATAATAACAAGGTTATTACGAGAATACCTAGAAAGTATGCAGTCAGACAGTATGCTGCGCGTTGGTCGATACTCCATCTGTACTGTCTTTGTGCATACTTTGAGGTATTCTTGTGATAACCTCAGATAATAATATGGAGAAAAATAACAAAATAGGGAGGAAGGAAGGAAGGATTAACATCAAGAAACATTTCATTCCATATTGTCAGTTTATGACACATTCCAGGGTTCAACACGGACTAGAAAAATCTATTTAGTGACTGTAGTACTTTTATGAATCGCTTAGATATTTCAATTTTTGATTACATTTTTAGTAAACATCATACTGTAAATGTAGAATGAGTCTGAACAATGTACATGTTGTATACATAAAAATATTTTTTTATTGGTAGCACTAGATTGATTGCAAGTAATGCTGGAATTTCTAAGAAAAAATAACCATGTAACGATGCATTGATAATGAATCCTAATGATGAACCCTTCCAGATATACATGTATACTCGTGACAATTTTTTCCAATTTCACATTCAGTGACAGACAAATCAAGTTTTAATATTTTACTGTATGTCACCACTTTGTTGATTTACATGTTATAAGGTCAGCTTTAAGTCATATTTCAAAAAATACACTAAGCATACTCACCTGCAGCATTTGCTCATCAAAATCTTCCTCATCTTCAATGAAAGAATTCATCAGCTCTTTCGCATCCTTTTTTTCCTCCTCAGTTAATTCAACTTTTACTACTGGCTTTGACTTCTCTTTCTGAGGAGTTGGCTAGACAGAAATGCAATTATATAAAGATACATGTACATTCAATAATTTGTGTTCTGATGGCTCTATGCATCCTCCAGACATCCTTTCAGATGTTCAGAATTGACATTCTACACATCCAAAACCAGGATAAAAAAATACACCTGGCACATGTTTTGTTTAAACAAGCAAAATTTCCAGTTCTGGTGTTTGCTGAGATTTAATAGTGGTTTAATAGTAGAGTGGTTTAATAGTAGAGTTCACTAGTTCTGCTTCTATATATATTATATAGCAATGTTGTTGTTTTTTAAAAACAAATTAAAGACAAGTCATTGAAAATGACACAGTCCCCGTTAAATTTGTGAAAGTTCCTTTTGTGATTGTCATATTAAAGTAGAGGAGTTGTTACGAGCATGTCCTTGAAACTTGAGTCCAAAGTGGCGTATACAACAGGTTGTTTAGTATTTACATCAAATTCGAACATGTGTTGCGTGACGACCCCTCCAGTTTAAGACATAGCAAAGAAAAACATAGATCACAAGTGAAAGCATGTCCAAGTTATCACATTTTAAACAAACAAGATGGCCGCCAGTCGGCCATATTTGATCAAATTGCAAATTGAATTGACATGTACATGTATTCATTTATAACATGCTAAATATCAATGAAAATGATACATGGGTGACAGTAGTATGGCCAAAAATAAAAACAGCCGTTATTCGGCCATCTTTGATCTGATTATGGAACAAAG